GAAGGGGGGAGGGACTGGGGAGAGAGAAGCCAGCAGCAGTGACCTGCTGGCTGGGATTTGCCCAACCTGAGCTGTAGTAGTGGGGAGGGCAAATCAGAGCTCCCCCTGCCTCGTGGTCCCCCACCAACCCCCTCCCAACTCAGGCTGGGTAAACCCCAGTAGTAGCAACCAGGGTTTTGGGACAGAGCACACAGCAGGAGGCCCAGTGAGTGCACTGCCCATATGACTGCATTAGTGGGGGGTGCTCACTTGTGCTACTTATGTAGCAGGGAGCAGGGTTAGTGGGGGGGTGGAAAGGCTGTCCATGCAATAGTGGGAGGAGAAGGGATGAATGCCCAAATAATCCAAAATTGAGGGGAAATAGTACTGGTCTATGAATCTGTATATCACGTTTCAATTGGATACAAAACATAATGTCTAGGTCCTAACAGAAACTCTAATGATAACTTTACCCTCCAAACTAGTACTGCTATAATATCCAAACACGTACTTAGCAAATTTAATCCGTCCTTTTTATTTCATCATCATCAAAGCCTTAAAATAACTATGGCCTACAGGTATTCCAATAGTTGTAATGTAATGTTTTATACAGTAAGGAAAAAGATAATGCATACCTGATACAATTCTGAAGGTCCTGATGATACAGAAGGTGGCAAGGGTGGTAACTCGGGTATTCCTTTGGAATGACTCATGTTATATACAGAATCATTTTGTGACTACAGGAGATAAAAAATGTTTTACAATTTTTTTATAAACTACATTGCTGGAAAAAGAGCTTTATTCATGAAAGACAAGGACATTCCTAATCATAAAAAATGCATTTATTCTGTTACAGAAACTGACATTCTTCAGCATGGGTTACTCAGACGAAAATGAGTTTTCTGACTGCACTGTTGTCTTTGATTTCTCTCTGGTCCTTTGATAAATTATCTATTATAAAGAAAATACTGATTTCCTAAGAATCTTTCAATCAGATAATTCATGAGCAAAATGCTGCTGTTTAGTTAAAAAAAAAAAAAAAAAGGTATTTGTATAAAACATAAAGGGATTTTTTCATATTAAAACACTTGTGGGTATTCTGGAAAAATCTCAATGTGAGTTTTGTGGTAGAGCATGTGTGCCAAAACATGAACTGGACTAGAAACCAAGGAATCTGACTCATCACTGTCCAACCTGAGGAGAATGTGAAACTTCAACCAAGTTTTTACTAGAAAAAAGGAAATTAAACTGTAATGTTACTGACATTACAACTGAAATGCTTTTTAAAGTGCCAGGGGAAGCTAGTCCTCTAGGATGGAAGACAGAAAACAGAGCAGAAGACTCCTTACCCCAAGTATGCTAAAAGTCAAAGCATTTCTACCATTTACCAAGTTCTAGGACCACGTCCCCAGCACGTCCTCAAACAGTGTGTTGAGATAGCTTTCTGGCATACCATGTGGAGTCTTCCAAGTATGCTTTTCTTCACATTTTTTTTCCAGAGGATATAATTTAGCCCACCGTGCTATAGGACTGATCTCAATAGCAGTTCTCATTGTAAAGCAAGCCCTTCCCCCCCCCCCCCCCCCCGCCACTTTGTTTTAATTTTGCATACATAGGCTCAGGAGATGCCAGAACCCATAATCTTCTAGTACACAAAGTGACGCCACCAGTGCAGGGTCGTAAAGTATAGGCAGGACAGCAATTTGGTATGAGTTCTTATACGTTATTTATACCTTAAAATATAATAGCTAATGGGCATGTTGATGAATGAGATGCAGTGTTATCTGGCATGCTGCAATCTGCACTGCTGGGATTCCTAAAGCATAATTCTGATGCTGCAACTGGAAATACTAGTCATGTTACCTTTCTGGGCAAACAATATTAACAGCTGATTTAGGAAATATCCCCTGCTGGTTCTGCACTAATATGGGGGTAGGGAGGGGAAGCAGCAGGGCAGAGCTGTCATAGCCAACAGAGTGCCCCTGGTGCCTTGGAACCATCTTAGGGCAGGATGAGTCCAGAGGATGTGTGGGGAACATACTTAAAAGTGTTTTTAACCATCAATTTAAAAAGATAAAATATGCAGTGCCATCCATTCCACCCCCATGCGGACATGAAATTCTCCTGAAGTCAAGGGCAGAGCTCCAAATGACTTCTATTAGAGTGCCAAGCTTACACCCACAATATCCATTCCCAAGGATCACCTGGCTATGCCTCTGCACAGATCATGCTGCCAGCAGGCTGGGGAACACCAGCTGATAGACCACCTCTGTCACAGCACTCATGAAAGGGCTAAAAGTACACAATCCTCTCTAGCCCAAGGAAGCTGTCCTGTACCCTTTTCCTCTAACATACCTACTCAGTTTCAGGCACAATTTTGCACTTAATTTGCATCAATACATACAAGCAATAGCTATGTATAATTAGGATGACTATATTTTTTTTAAGGAAATCCGGGACACTATCCCCATCCCACCCAATCCCCACCCCAGGCAGGAGGAACAGTGTCCGGCCCAGCCTGCCCCCAACCTTCAGCCTATGAAATCTGGCATTGTCCCCGCCAAACTAGGATGTGTGGTCACCCTATGTATAATGTAGTTTGAAATTAAATAAATCAAAGTGTTAATTGCTCATATATATATTTAAACCACTCTATAATAATATATATACTTAATATATTATATGTAAAATGTATATGTTTGTGTATATAAATATATATTTAATAAAAACCACTATAATAATATATATATAAAAACCATTCCATAGGCAGATAGGAAATTAATTACAGTATCAGAAAAGGCTAAAGTGTCATACTGCAACAATGACCATTTGTTTTGTGCCACTTGTGTGCCCTTTAAGAGCGCAGTAAAACACAGCTACAAAAGATGATGAGTTACAAAAAAAATAAAAACAAAGCTTACAAGTATGCTGCTGCATTTGAAGACAAGTGCATTAAATCACCATGGAAGAGGCAGGTATTATCTGAAATAACTGCACTTCCACAATGTATTATTTTGATAGGACATTTCTCTGATATATTTTTGTAGCGAAATGGCTACTGACAACAGACCCATGTGACTACAGCAGATAACTAGACAGTCCAAACCCACTTCAGCCAACCGCATTCCTCTTCTTTCAATACCCAGTGTACAGCTTACTTAGAAATTGAATTTGTGAAAGGAATTCTCTGATTTACCTCCAGAAGATAGGACTTCCTGCTATTCTCTGGCACACACAAATGCAAGGCAAATCACAGCTTTAAGCTATATTCTGTGGCCCTTCTTCAAGAAAAACCCCAGTTGACCCACAAGGACATTTCCCTGTTCAAGATTGCTGAATTTGGCCCTTAAGGTTTTTGTATTTTGAAAGTGAACAAAACAGGTTATTAAGGGATTGTTCATCTTTAAAGCTATAGGAGTTATCAGGAAAGCCATTACTTGACACGTACACTGCTAAAACCATTTTCAAAAATTAATATCCTTTTGGCTCAGCATGTTTGAACTATAGTACTTATTCAAGGAGATATTTTACAAAAGCCACAGTCCAATAAATATGCAGCAGCAGCTTCTTCAAACACTTTGAACTGTAAATCAGCCGTAAAAACAAATCACAGAGGGCCAATTTTATCTGAGATTTTCAAATGTAATTTTCAATATTTCAGGCAGCCTCAATAGTAAATTACACTTACCCGCCGGAGACTCGGTGTCTGGGTTGACTTCATTGTAAACTCAGGTTTTGTTCAAATTGTTTCTTTTCTTCTTAAAAGGTAGAGATGATGTTATTTTTCTTAAAATAAATGCCTTGGTAAGAGTTACATGCATATTCAGGGAATATTTAGGGAAATTTCCAGGACACACTTTCCATTCAGGATTCTGCAGACAAGATTACAACAAACAGCTCCCCTCCAGTGCCCTATCCTCTCTCCACACACTTCATCAGCAAGAAGGAAGCCTCTTCTGCAAGCTCCCTTCTCCCTTCCCTCTCCCCTGCAACCTATACTAAGCTCCCTTCTCCTCTCTTCCCAGGATCTCTTACTCTTCTGCCCCACTACAAGTTCCCTTTTTACCAGTATCTCACCTGAACTCTCTAACCCAGCTTCCTGTTGTCCTTTTCCCAAGTTTTCTTCCACTCTTCTAAACCTCAAACTCTCTCCCCTGCTTCCTTCGCCTCCAGGCGCTTTCCCACCCCCCTGCCTCATGCCCTCTCCCCGTTCCCACTGCCTCTCCCCTGCCTCTCCTCTTCTAATGCCTCAGGATCACTCTGCCTCCCAGTTTGGGATTTAGTGCAGAGATTTGCATACATTTATTGCCATGAGACATGAGCAAACATCGAAGTGCAAGGTGAACAGAAAGACAGATTTGCACCCATTATGCCTTGGCCTAATCTCCTGGGTGCGTGTCTTGGGATTGGAGGTGGGAAAGGGGGTGCTACCTGCTGCTGCCCTGGCTAACTGCCTCTGCCTGGCGGCTGCTCCCAGCTCAAGTGAACTTCTGTGACATGCCTTTCACTTCTTCGCTTGGTAACCAAGGTGACAGCATTTTTGTTGCTAGGAGACATAAGAATGACTGCTTTTCCGCCCCCTCCTTCTCCCCCCTCTTCCTCTACTTGGTCATAGTTGGCTAGAGAACAAGGCCTCCCAGTATGGTGTATCACTGTGGCCAAGGAGAAATGGCTCAGTAATCAATACAGTATTCCTATGGGGTCGTTGACTATTATACACCCAGAAATTACCTGCACACTTTGGGAGAGATTATCAATAAACTGAACTGGGATAGGGTGGGGGAAATCTCCCAACCAGCAAAGGTAAGATAAATCCAAAACCTGATATTTGCAAGGAGGAAAAAATACCTTGAGGCAGAGGCTCTCAAACTTGGTGATACCACAACCACGAGTGCTGGATGGCGGCGGCGGGGGACAGGGAGCTCGCATGCAGCAGCCGCTGCTGCCATCCACCACTCCACACCACCGCGCATACCCCCTGGGAAGTTTGCAGCCCCCTTTTAAGTTACTTGCAACGCCCCGGGGGTTCACGACCCAGAGTTTGAGAACCCCTGCCTTAAGTGTTCAAGCCGTTGAATCCAGAATCCAAGCTCATGAAGTTCCCAAAATGTTGGCTCAAATGGGGTCAACCACTACAAACAAATCTGGTACCTCTTCTTCTCCTAGCTCCTCCAAGAGGCTCCCACACAGCCTCTAATAGCTTTTCTGCCTAACAGTTATTGAACCCTACAATGGCAGCAGAGGAGCTGGGAGCACATGCATTGAACCCTATCAGAGTCAGAGTCAATCCTCGCTGCAGCTGCCATGGACTACACAGAAATATGGAGCACAGAGGTTTCTTGTCTTTCCCATGTGTGTGACAACAGCATCAAGATACAAGATTATGTGTATTCACCAAACTGAACTCAAAATCTTGAGAAACTCAAGATAGCTTTTCAGGGTGGTTCTTATTCAGCCATGCAACACCATCGATTATTATACATCCTAGAGCATTATAAGTCTTAAGACATGTTCCTTGTCTACAAAGATTTTAGTCTAAGGTAAACAAACCAACCTAAAATAAGACATGCACTCATTCAGAAAAAGAGAGGCCCAGACAGGTCACACATCCCTGCACTGCGTACAAATTTCAAACAGATTTCCTGTAAGTTGAAGGCTAGGAACAGACTGACTTTTATTAGTAGATGTTTAGGATTGTGAATCCAAAAAAGATGACAAAGCTGGTAGGGAAACACACAGCGCCCGAGCAAGGGACTAACATTAGAGGGATGGGGGTGAGAAGGGGAACACAACTAGGTTACAGGAGATACAATGTTAGCCAACTAAGCAGCGGGGGGTTCATGACACAGAGAGAAAGAGGATAGATACACACGAACCCGTTACGGTGGTCCGCAATGGTGGAAGAAGTGGTTTGAAGAAAAGTGTCTCAGTCCATATAGTCTCATTGCGGGGGTCCTCTTCGGGTGGAGCGGGGTCATCCATTACTGAAGAATCCTCTTGAAGTGAAGGTCCAACTGGTGCAGAGGAGGGGGTACACATAAACCGGTTTAAGTGATCAGAAACTGGTTTAGACCTGTAACGGAACATACGTTCAGTGCACATAAACCAGTTTCAAAATGGCCAAAACCAGTTTGAGATAAACCTGGCTGAATGTAATATCAAGCTTAAATGATTGAGCTCAAACTGGTTTATGCAGACCCCTTCCTGGTTTAAGTTAAACCAGAGTCTTCCAGCATCCCCCCCTGGGCTGGCCTCTCTGCTCCAGTGGAACAGGGCTGGCCCCACCCCTCTGGTCCCTGGCCGGAGTAAGGGCAGGGACCTGGCCAAACGCTGACCCTGGAAGGGAGCAGGGAAGAGGTTCATTTCCCCGCTCCCTCTCCCCGTCCCACCACCACGGACCTACATTTCTCTGCTGGCTGCTTCAGCAACAGGGGCACAGCCAGCTCCAGCAGTAGCCTGGAGTGATCTGGGTTGAATTCCACCCTCCCTGTCCCACAGACCCAAACTGGGAGCACATGCATTGAACCCTATCAGAGTCAGAGTCAATCCTCGCTGCAGCTGCCATGGACTACACAGAAATATGGAGCACAGAGGTTTCTTGTCTTTCCCATGTGTGTGACAACAGCATCAAGATACAAGATTATGTGTATTCACCAAACTGAACTCAAAATCTTGAGAAACTCAAGATAGCTTTTCAGGGTGGTTCTTATTCAGCCATGCAACACCATCGATTATTATACATCCTAGAGCATTATAAGTCTTAAGACATGTTCCTTGTCTACAAAGATTTTAGTCTAAGGTAAACAAACCAACCTAAAATAAGACATGCACTCATTCAGAAAAAGAGAGGCCCAGACAGGTCACACATCCCTGCACTGCGTACAAATTTCAAACAGATTTCCTGTAAGTTGAAGGCTAGGAACAGACTGACTTTTATTAGTAGATGTTTAGGATTGTGAATCCAAAAAAGATGACAAAGCTGGTAGGGAAACACACAGCGCCCGAGCAAGGGACTAACATTAGAGGGATGGGGGTGAGAAGGGGAACACAACTAGGTTACAGGAGATACAATGTTAGCCAACTAAGCAGCGGGGGGTTCATGACACAGAGAGAAAGAGGATAGATACACACGAACCCGTTACGGTGGTCCGCAATGGTGGAAGAAGTGGTTTGAAGAAAAGTGTCTCAGTCCATATAGTCTCATTGCGGGGGTCCTCTTCGGGTGGAGCGGGGTCATCCATTACTGAAGAATCCTCTTGAAGTGAAGGTCCAACTGGTGCAGAGGAGGGGGTACACATAAACCGGTTTAAGTGATCAGAAACTGGTTTAGACCTGTAACGGAACATACGTTCAGTGCACATAAACCAGTTTCAAAATGGCCAAAACCAGTTTGAGATAAACCTGGCTGAATGTAATATCAAGCTTAAATGATTGAGCTCAAACTGGTTTATGCAGACCCCTTCCTGGTTTAAGTTAAACCAGAGTCTTCCAGCATCCCCCCCTGGGCTGGCCTCTCTGCTCCAGTGGAACAGGGCTGGCCCCACCCCTCTGGTCCCTGGCCGGAGTAAGGGCAGGGACCTGGCCAAACGCTGACCCTGGAAGGGAGCAGGGAAGAGGTTCATTTCCCCGCTCCCTCTCCCCGTCCCACCACCACGGACCTACATTTCTCTGCTGGCTGCTTCAGCAACAGGGGCACAGCCAGCTCCAGCAGTAGCCTGGAGTGATCTGGGTTGAATTCCACCCTCCCTGTCCCACAGACCCAAACCAGGGGCTGCCGGGTGCTCCTCCCTTGCTGCAACAGTGGCAGGGGTGCAGCCAAACACCGGCCACCATGGGCCCCTTAGGCAGGGAGGACGGTTATTCCCCTCTCTGCCCCCAGGGGATCAGAGTGGGGTCTGCCCACCCTGACTGCCACCACCACTAACTCCTTGCAGGAAGCAAGAGGCAGGATAAGCCCCCTCCTGCCCCCTTCGCCAGACGCCTGCCCCCCAACTTAAGGGGCCCTGCCGGCTGGGCTCTAGTCGCACCTCTGCCTTACCGCTGGAGCAGCAAGGGAGCAGGGCCCCTGATGGTGGCAGCAGCCCCTACCATGGTGTCCAGGGAGCACAAGCCTCTTCCCGGTGGGGAATAACCCCCTTCCTGCCTCCCCGCCTAAGAGGCCATGCTGGCCAGGCTCTGGCCATGCCCTGCCCCTGCCACTGGAGCAGCAAGGGGTGAGCAACCATGTTGGGGGCAGCAGCCCCTGTCACAGTGTCCCAGAGTGCAAGCCTCTTCCTGGTTGGGGGGCCGCACTGTGGGTCAGGGAAAGCTGCTGAGGACTGTGAAGGGCAAGCAGTAGCAGTGGTGCTAGAGGAGTTTGGGGAGCTATGGCCACCTCCAAGCCCAGGTGCCACCACTCACCCTGCATAATCAGCGGCAGCTCTGGCCCCCCCACCCATGGTCCCCCCATCAGGAAGAGGTTCACGTTCCCCGGACAACAGGACAAGGGCTGCTGCCCCCGACATGGTCACTCCCCCCCTCACTGCTCCAGCGGCAGGGACGCAACCAGAGTCCGGCTAGCATGGCCCCTTAGGCAGGGGGCAGGAATGGTGATTATTCCCCCCTCCATCTGGCGTGGAGTGGGGCAAGAGGAAGCTTATCTCGCCACTCACCCAGTGCAGGGAGCGAGCAGCAGCTGTGGCAGCCGGGGCAGGCAGACCCTGTTGCAGTCCCCTGAGGACAGAGCGGGTAGAGGGAGGAATAACCCCCTTCCCTGCCCTCTCTGCCTCAGGAGGCCATGCCGGATGGCATCTGGCTGCGTCCCTACTGCTGTGGCAGTGAGGGGGGAGCACCCAACAGACCCCAGCTTGGGTCCATGGCACAGGGAGGGAGGAAGTCAGACAAGAAAGGGAGGAAGCCAGACAAAAAAGCTGATATTTTTAACAGTTTCTTTGCCTCTGTCTTCCTGAACAGGGACCGGGATATCCCACCTACCAGAGGTAGGGACAATCTTGGGGATAGCTCTATCAAGCCTTCAGTCAGTGCAGATGTAGTTAGGGCTGTTCTGGAAGGGCTAGACATTTTTAAATCTGCAGGTCCAGATGCCCTCCACCCAAGGGTGTTGAGAGAGCTGGCAGGGGTCATCGCGGAGCCTTTGGCCCAGCTGTAAGAGCATTCGTGATCATCTGGCCAGGTGCCGGGGGATTGGAAACTGGCTAATGTGGTCCCTATTTTTAAGAAGGGGAGGAAGGAAGACCCAAGTAATTATAGGCCTGTAAACCTCACCTCGGTGCTCGGGAAGATCTTGGAGAGGATCATCAAGGAGCATATCTGTGGGGGGCCTGCAGGGGAGATCATGCTCAGGGGCAATCAGCATGGCTTCACCAAAGGCAGATCCTGCCAGACCAACCTGATTGCCTTTTACGACCAAGTAACTAAATTCTTGGATGATGGTGTCACTGTGGACATAGTCTTTCTAGACTTTAAGAAGGCCTTTGACACTGTCTCTCACCCCATCCTCATCAATAAATTAAGTGACTG